CATCCTCAGGTAGTTTAAAATTCAAGCGCCCCCCGCCCCCTCTCCCCCACGTTAACTTTTCAATACTGAATTGATTTGTGCTTTTTCCTAGCCATTGTGCTCAGGTGAGCGATGTGGCCCATGGGCCTCTTGTTTAAGAAATATACTAGAAGAATTCTTAACTTCTGAATGTACAAGTACTTGTCATTATTTGTTCATCTGAGATGAGGGTATTTTTGGCTTAATTCAGATTTTGCTTATTTTGACTGTCTGCTGAATGGTTCCTGGTACGTACATCCGTCCACAGGAAAGGAGTATGCTAATTACATGGGTTGTAGAAATTACCAGCAAGTGTTGAAAGTGAGTAGCGCAAAACTCTACACTCTCAAAAATAGAATTTGTTTGTTTGTTTGTTTATTGTTGTTTAACGTCCCTCTCGAGAATTTTTCACTCATATTGAGAGGCCACCACTTGCCAGTGGAGAGCTGCAAATTTTGACCTATACTCGGCACTCAGGGCCATTGAGCAGTGAGGGATCTTTTTCGTGCCAGCACCTACTGCGACACGGGACCTCGGTTTATACGGTCTCATCCGAAGGACCGGTCTCTACGTCCCACAGTGGGATTCGAACCCGCGACGCAAGGATCAACTCCTTACTCCGCGACTCTAGAGCAACGATCTAACCACTGCGCCACGCGGGCGATTTTTTTTGTAATGATGACAATTTCCAAATGGAGGATGAAGACAAAAATGAAGTTCAAGCAGATTAGATATACAGTACGGTGGAAAGTATTATCATGCTATAAAGCCTGTCTACTCTGACATGCACTTGGACAGAGATTTTTTGTCTGAATAGACAGTGTGTCTGATTGCACAGTTCGATAAAAGTGGGAATGAAAATAAATCTCAGTAATACAGATCGCACAGGTGTAGGATTCAACAGTTTTACTGTATTTATAAATCAATGTTGAAGATGCCAATTTTATAATGGAAACAGATATCGTTCCTTCTTAAAGTCACTTTTTGCATATCTTATATTACAGGAACCAGAGGAAGATCTTTTACATGTATATGTGTCCATTGCTAGATTCAGTATTTCTCTCCTATTGCTTATCAGTGCACTTGTTAATTTCTTCAATTTCAGGTAAAACACTGTACCCTGTCTTTATAGAAAAAAGGATCGTGATGGTTTTCTTTAAACTACATGTACAACTAACTTGCAAATATTTTTGACTGCACTATAGATATGATCAATTGCTTAAATGAAAAGTTGTTGTTATGCAAATCCTTTTTAATAGAAATTAATCGACATTAATATGTGAACTGTATAAAGTAATGCAAAATAAAGATTTTTTTTTACATAAGCGCAATTTTAAATAATTCCCAAACCTTCTAATATTTTTTGAAAAAAAAAACAAGATGTGTTTGTGAAACATTGATGCCTCCGTATGGCAGCTTATAGCAAAGGGTAAAGTTTTTCAAATGCAAGTCAAACTCCAGGTCAAGAAATCAAAAATGTTGGTACCCAAAGAAAGGTCTTTTTCGAGGAATATACCTGTGAAATATGAAAGCCCTAGTACAAATCATTGAAAAGTTATGGCGAAGGTTGATTTTTTTTTTCAAATTAAGTAAAGCGGCAAGGTCAAGGTCAAATGGGGCCCAAGGGAAGGTCTTGTCACAAATGATACACATGACCGTGATATAAGAAAGCCCTAGAACCAAACGTTCAAATGTAATGGCCAAGGTTTAATTTTTTTTCAAAATAGGTCAAACTCGTAGGTCAAGGTCAATTCCAAAATTGTTGGTATCCAAAGGAACGTCTTGTCACAAGGAATATACATATGAAGTATGAAAGCCCTAACACCAACTATTCAAAAGTTATGTCCAAGATTAAGGTTTTTCAAAAAGTAGGTCAAACTCCAAGGTCAAGGTCAACGGATCAAAGATGATGGTATCTAAAGGAAGGTCTTGTCACAAGGAAGGCATATGTGAAGTATGAAAGAGCTAACACCAACTGATCAAAAGTGATGGCCAAGGGTAAAGTTTTTCAAAAGTAGGTCAAACTCCAAAGTCAGGGTCAAAGTTGATGGTACCCAAAGAAAGGTCTTGTCACAAGAATTACATATGTGAAGTATGAAAGCTTTAACACTAATTGTTTAAAAGTTATGGCCAAGGTTAAAATTTTTCAAAATTGAAGTAGGTCAAACTCTAAGGTCAAAAGGTCAAAGTTGTTGGTGTCCAAAGAAAGGTCTTGTCACAAGAGGAACCTGTCACAAAGTATTCAAAAGTTATGGCCAAGGTTAAAGTTTTTACAATAGTAGGTCAAACTCCAAGGTCAAGGTCAAAGGGTCAAAGATGTTGGTATTCAAAGAAAGGTCTAATCATAAATAATACACATATGAAGTTTGAAAGCCCAAGCTTTAACTGTTCAAAAGTTATGACCAAGGTTAAAGTCTCAAAAAAGTTTGCAAAAGTGGGTCAAACTCCAAGGTCAAGGTCAAAAGGTCGAAAAACACCATTTGCATTTGCCATAACTTTTGAAGCATTGGTGCTAGGGCTTTCATACTTCACACGTGTAATTCTTGTGACAAGATTTTCCTTTGGATTTCAATAACTTTGACCCTTTCACCTTGACGTAGGAGTTTGATCTACTTTTGAAAATCTTTAACTTTGGCCATAACTTTTGAACGATTGGTGCTAGGGCTTTCTTTCTTCCTATATGTAGTTCTTGTAAAAAGACCTTCCTTTGGATATTAACAACTTTGACCCTTTGACCTTGACCTTGGTATTTGAAGTACTTTTGGAAAACTTAAACCTTGGCCATAACTTTTGAACAGTTGGTACCAGGGCTTTCATATTTAATATGTGTATTCCTTGTGACAAGGCCTTTCTTAGAACACTAACAACTTTGACCCTTTGATCTTGGAGTTTGGCCTACTTTTGGAAAACTTTAACCTTGGCCATTACTTTTGAATAATTGGTGCTAGGGCTTTCATAGTCCCCAGATATAATCCTTGTGACAAGACCTTACTTTGGATACCAACAACTTTGACCCTTAAACCTTGGAATTTGACCTACTTTTGAAAGACTTTTACCTTGGCCATAACATTTGAACGGTTGGTGCTAGGGCTTTCATATTTCAGATGTGTATTTCTCGTGAGAAAGTCTTTCCTTGTGCACTATTAGTATTGGCCATTTGAGCTTGACCTTGATGTTGACTTATTTTTGAAAACTTTAACCTTTTCCATATCTATTCAATGGTAGCTGCTAGGGCTTTCATATTTCATAGGTATATTCCTATTTACTTTGGGTATCAATGTATTTGATTAGCATTTGAGAAAGTTTAACCTTTGATATGAGTTGCCATACAGGGGCATCAGTGTTTCACAAACACATCTAGTTTTTTTTTTGTTTTGTTTTTTAGAATTTTTTTTTCAGAATTTTATCTTTGATACAAGTCTTCTTAATGTTTTTGCTTCTGTAGTTGTGGTTTCGAGTATTACACGTTATAACACAGTATGCTGTGGTAAGCAACTTTGCCTGGATATTCTGTGAAGGTCTCTTCCTACACACCTTGATCATCCGGACACTCTCTCATTATGACCTGCTTTATCATTGGTTGGAGTAAGTATAACACTAATGAGAGCTAAATGTTACAATTGTATTATTAAGGAGATATTTGTCATATTTATCATGATAGGGATTGGGTATATTATATGATTACTATAGAGCCGCCAATGTTAATGGGTTTCATATGTCACCCTTACTCATTAAATTAGTTAGTGAACCAGTTAAATTTTGGTTGTCCACGAACTATGATAAGAGTTATTATGATGGCATAGTAAATGATTCCTGTAAATTTACAAATATATAAAAATATGAAATAGGAATTAACTATACTTGGATTTTTTGGGACTTGCTTTTATAAATTACATTTTTCTAGATTTTTTTTCTCTTGGTTGATTTAAGGGTCCTCCATACGCTGGACACTGAAGAGTTCTAATTACATTGTACTTTTATGCAGTTAGAGTACTAGTGATCTGCATTCTGATTCAGAATTTAATAAAGTATATAATCTTTGGTGTAATACACAATTTATAATCAATTTAATTATTCTTAAAATTATACTAGATGCAGATGAAAATTTTTCTCGAAAACTTCATTTGCATTTATTTTCCCCATTCAAGCAAGCAACAATTATTTCTGTTCATCAATTCTTTGCTTCTTATGAATTTTTCCGGGGAAAGATGACAGGTACCCTATATGAAAACTGAAATAGGCCAACTTTTAAAATACTAAGTCTTTTATCTTTACACAATATTATCTTCTCAAAGTCCAAAAGCTAGTGTATAGGGAGGGTCCTTAATAAGCACACTAAGCACTTTTTAGACTATTTTTAAAACTGCATTTAATGCTTAGACAAAGACAGATTGAATGCTTTCAAGTAACAATAAATAATTTTGTTTTATTACAGTGGTTCCTTTGGGGTTGACAGCAGTCTATGCTGGAATCAGGGCAACTCTCTCTGACAATATATCTAATTGTACGTTAATATCTTTCTTTAACATGCAGGGGTCAAATTGTCACATACGTAAACATGATACATCTTAATTGTTTTTCGTAGGACGTCATCACGATCACCCGATCCGATACTTATTAGCTGTTACTATAACAAACTTATTAGTGTTATTTGCATGCTTATAAGACTCATAAAGTCTGACTTTTAGACCGTGCGGTCTACCACGGTATATTATTAGCTTCAACTAGCAAAGGCTAACAATATGATATAAAGTATACCGCGGTCTATTATTATCTTTAAAAAGAACCTTGTAAATAGCAGCAAATCAACTCTTGAATGCCAGGGGTCATCGCTTCGAAAAAATAAAATAAAAATTATTTTATTTATCGATTTTCAAATTATTTAATTTCTTGTTATATCTAAAATGATCAATGTGAAATTATCGGGAAAAAAATGAAATAAAAAAAATCTCGTTACGTCACATCGCCGAGTAAAGTTCGCGGGAACATTCCACGAGATCTGGCTGACTGGAAATGTCACATGTATCCCAATGATCATGATTTGGTAAGTAATTAGATCTATAGCAACATGAAGTGCAGTCGAATGAAGATGCATACATGTGCATAAATATATATATGTAGTAGGGATATTTGTAGATGCACTTGTAAACAGTAAAGAGATCAATGATAGCATTACTCGAATTTCCTCGATCACCACATTTCGCCATTTGTGAATAACACTGTAGATGGCATCAGTGTTATGATTTAATATATGTATAAGCATGGGTTTTAATGATTTTGTCTCATTGATATGAATTTTACGATGGGTTTACAGTTTTAATCAAATTTTCAGTAAGCACCTTAAGTGAGTGAAAGGGGGGTGGGGGAATTGTTAATGAATTTACTTTATTAGTTTATACAGTTATCCATAAAGGTCACCTTTGCCTGGAAAAGTAGAGCAATCTCTTGTCTCTTCTACTTCATGTCCTTAGTATGAACTTCAGTTGAAGGAAATACTTATATGATTTGTTTGTCTGTGTATGTGGGTTTATTTTATACACACAAAAATCGAACACATTTAAAATAGCTGTTTTTAATAATATATATCCCTATTTGAAGCTCACTTAGTCCTGTCAAAAAATCTTACTTAATTAACATATATTTACATCCACTGAATATTTTCTCCTTTATTTCTAAAGAAAACCAATGCCGTTTATCAGTGCATGAACAACACTAGGTATATCACCTGTACAGATTTCTTGATCACTGGCTGTTCCATCAACGAAACGTACATTGACGTACATATCAATAATACAATAATTAATCTTTTTAATCCTACTTTTAATGATTGTTTATACAGATATAAATATAAACAATAAAATGTCTTTCTTTGGTTGTTAGTAGGGGAATTAACGTCGCAGCTATTGCAGAAAAAATTTACGTAACCCGCTTACGCGGGTTATGTATTTTTTCTGCAACAGCTGTGACATTAATTCCCCTACTAACAACCAAAGAAAGCATTTTATTGTTTAAACAACCTTACAAATGTTAATGTTCCAAAATGGTGGAAAACAATTAAGGTAGGTCAAAATGAATCCAATCCTGAATCTGTTAATCAACTAATAAAAAACTTTGTGAAACAGCGATAATATTTTCATATTATATATTTTCTATTACTGTGGAGTTATACCGAATAAGCAACACAGTTTTATAAAAGCCACTCTGCTCATGATATATTATAGTATCATTATATGGCCATATCCTGGTGTTGCCCGTTATACTTGGGAATATTATAATCATTGAATCTACACTACCTGAGGACGATTCCATATCAATATGACTAATTGTGGCTTTGTTGTTCTTGAGAAGATTTTTAAAGAATTTTCATATATTTTCTTATGTAAAAACTTTGATCCGCCATTGTGGCCCCTGATAATAGACCCAGTTAATTGCTTAAATATTATATTGAGAATTGCCAGCTATTGATTTTGGTTTAAACCATGTGATGAAAGAATGGGGTGTATATCTTCTGGAATTTCTGGTCAGAAAAGTAATCAGTCAATATTGTACAATTAATCACCCTTCATGAGGTCAACATGGTGAAATGATGACCCGAGACCTGACCCACGAGGTGACCTGACCTGACCGAGGCCAACGGCCGAGGTCAGGTCAGGTCATCGAGTGGGTCAGGTCAAGGGGCATCATTTCACCATGCTGACCTCATGAAGGGTGATCAATTGTTTTATTATACCGACAATAATAATAATCAATTTTAACACATATGTAACATTTTATTTCAACAGAATAATGCATATTCTGAAATAACGATTTAAGCAGCAATAACTTTGAATTTGAATGTTCAATTGAAAAGTGAAAAAACACATCTTAGAATCATTAAATGATTTACAGAGTCCAATAAAGAACTTTACAGTATCTTTACTTTTGTTGTTCTTTTCCCACGTAATAGTGAATGTGCACTTGACCGACATTTTTGAATAATGGGCCACAAGAGTTTTGAGGCGTTTGGTCAACTTTAACATTCTCCTTTTCTTCTGGAACATTTGCAAACAAATCTGAACCATTTTCATCATGTAGGACTTCAGATAGCAATTGTTTGGTACTGACAGTCTCAAATTCACAGTTATTCAAATTTAAGAGCTGACTTTCTGAAGTACTGGTACAAGAATTTGTTGGAACAACTGGGTTTTCTAGCCCTAGCTTTGGTGATGGGTAAACCACAGATGACAATACATCAAACATTTCTTGCTTTTTTGTTTCACTTACACATCTTGAATAGCTTTTTATGGAAGTTTCGGACTTATGTCCACTGACAGACATGATGTGTCGAGCTTCTATCCCACCCTGATCCAAACTAGTAATACACGTGGCACGTATGCAGTGGTTTGTATACAGAGTTGAGAGTTCGGCTTTCATAGATATTGTTTTCATAAAATTTCCCAAAGTATTATGACCTACTGGAGAATTGTCATACCAAACAGCATCTGAATCGTTGATATGGCGCTTCGGTCTCTGCCAAAAACTTTCACAATTTGGATTCAGCTTTCCGAGGTATTTCTCCAGACTAGACACAGGACACTTCTCATCACCTACATGGACATATTAATATGAAAAATTGTAAATCAGTTGAATTCATGAAAATTGTCACATAGACAAATATATGATCTAATATTAGTAAATGCTGAAGTTTACATTAATTTTATTTTACATGTATTTTAAGAAGTATATTACCTGGTATTTCATATATTCTTGCTGAAGATGCATCATGGTCATTCACATCACTTCCTCTGTGATTTTTGGTTTCATACTGAGCGACATTAAGATAATACCTCCTTCCTTGGCCATCTGTCCTCAAAACAAAATCAGTTTTCTTCATGCTTCTCAGATTTTCCCTTCCTCTTCTACATGTGTAGAACATCACATCAAGAAAAACTTTATATTGCAATCCCTGTGGACTGTTTCCGTTTAGGACGCCGCTACTATACAATGTTGCCATGTCAGCATCGCTGATAATTTCCTTGTGTTGAGTGGTTCCCTTTCCAGTTCGTTTGATGTTTGTCAAAACTGCCTTGAACATTTCGTTTGATAGACGAAAATCTGGGTCATTAATAATGTCATATTTATTTTTTTGGAAAAATCTCTGCAAACCAAACCTGATGCTGATCATGGAAGATCTACTATACAATTCACCATCTTTTCTTCGGAGTTCAGCGTAAAAGTTGATCAGAATTTCAGCAATTTCACCTTTTGTTTTTTGCAGTATGTTGTCCACAATCAGTCCTTTTTCAGTGCAGTATGTAATGAACACTCTTTTCGCTGAGTCTATTCATTGTTTTGTGTTGGAACTATCGCGGTTTTCTAGGATTGCTTGTAGTTCCTCACTTGTCAGAGTTGCAAACCTCGATTCGCCAGCCATCGTTTTTGTAAACAGACGACAAATTACTCATGAGAAGTGACGTAGTACACAATTTTATAGTCTGTATCTTATTTCTCGAGAATAACTTACAGTTATAGTCTTTATCTAAAAACGGTACAGTAAACATGAAGAAAAAACGAAGCGGTCATATGTTCCGCCATTTTTATTTTCTGCACAGGTCAGGTTCAGCGGTCAATAATATTAATGACCGGTCAATATCTCATATACATGCAAAAATCAAGTCATTAATGGTCATGTGACACAAAAACAGGTCATAAGCTAATTTTAATGTTTTCTCATCAACCAATCAGATTCTTTCATTCTAATTGGAGGTATAATAATTCTATTTTATGGACTTTTTAATTACCTAAATATTATTTGAATAATTCTAAATAACTATGGTATATATATTGTAAAATCATATTTTTAGGTTACCTCAACTGAAAGCTCAAAATGAGCTTATTCTGATCACATTTTGTATGGCATCCATCTGTCTGCAGTCATCCAACCTATGTATGAAAACTTTGAACATTTTTAGTCCCTCGTCCGTCTGTCTAGCAGTCTAGCTGTCCATCCATCTGTAAACTTTTCACATTTTAAACTTCTTTTCAAGAACCACTGAGCCAATTTTAACCAAAATTGGTACAGAACATCCTTGGGTGAAGTAGAGTTTAAATTGTGAAAATGAAGGGCCAACCCCTTACAAGGGGAGATAATCAAGAAAAGACAAAAATAGGGTGGGGTCATTAAAAAATCTTCTCAAGAATCACTGGGCAAGAAAAGCTGAAACTTATGTGGAAGCATCCTAGGGTAGTGTAGATTTTAAATTGTTCAAATCATGGCCCCCGGGGGTAGGGCGGTTCCACAGTAGGGAATCAAATTTTTACATTGAAATATATAGGCAAAATCTTTGAACATCTTCTTCTCAAGAACCACTGGGCCAGTTAAGCTGAAACTTATGTCGAGACATCCTGGGGTAGTTTAGATTCTAAGTTGTTCAAATCATGGCCTCCGCCCCCGGGGGTAGGGTAGGGCCACAATAGGGTATCAAAATTTTACATTGAAATATATAGGCAAACTCTTCTTCTTCAAGAACCACTGGGTAAGGGCGAAACAATTACAGGGTTGTGGATAACCACTCGCCCACTCGCAAATGCGAGTAAATTTTGCTTTGGGCGATTAGATATTAAAAATCTGGTCGCCCACATGGCGAACAATTTTTTTTCCAGAACATAATCACATTTCAGTTTTTGTATTGTACTTTCAGTTTTTGAACAAATGCTCTACTAACCTAGATTATTTGTATTGTGTGCAAGCATATTAGTCAAACATGTACCTGATTTAGATCAAACGTGGCAATTTATCGAAGTGGTTAATTTGCAATCTTGATGATAGGAGAGCAAACATTTGAGATTGTTCTTAAAGAAATATTGTAACAATTGGCTGTGAGGCACTCCATCAGGACTAGTTATTCAGAGATAGAATTTGAATTATCGTGTCAAATACACAAAGATTAGAACCAAACTGCATTACAGGTTGTATGTAATTTAATATGTTCCCCCGTTAAACACTAGATGTGTCAGTTGTAGGATTACCGGTAAACGCTACAAAATGAAATGAACATATTATTG